ATTAGCATTCTGGAAGCAGAATTAAGCTAAGGCCAGTTTTAACCACTGTTTTTCACAAAGGCAGCAGTCTTTGAGTATGTTAGAATGTTCCCAGACTCTAAGCCATAATAATAAGCTTAAAATACTCACTAAATCTCCTCATTTTTAACAAAGTTTAAAGTTTCATTCTCAATTTTAAATTATTACTTTGGATCAGAGCTGTAATTTTTCAAAAATCAACCATCAGCCTTCTCTTCAACACTGAAAAGCTTTATTCAGCGCAGAACCCAAATGGGATGTAGAAATCAAAAGGTAACTTTACACCATTTGGTAATCCACTGGCCTCTGACAGCAAGGTCCTATTGCCTTCATTTGGTTAACAAACATTGTAGAAAGTTTCTACGTGTTGAATTCTAGATATTGAAGGGTATAAAAAACACAGAAAGAAATAAATCTACAGATAAGACTCAACAGCACTGAAAGACTTGGTGTTATCAACACAGAAGAACTGGGCCTCTAAATTTAATGCTCTTCAGATAAGTCCTTTCACGAGGGCAACAGAGCTTGTCTTCCTTTTCTTGTCTCCTCTGCTTCCTTTCTTCTCAGGGAAGTAAATAAGATTGGATAAGACAGAAAACCTACTATCTCTGCTGTCCTCTCTTCTACTTTGATTTTTTTAACTCTCCAGCCCGCAGATAAGAGATCTGCTCTCCAGAAGAAGAAAAGAACTGCTAGAGATTTAGGGTCACGTACTGAGTCCAGGTGCATTTTGTAGCACTTAACTCTCAGCTCTCTTAGATCTATTGAGAAGAATCACAAAAGTTAGGAAATCCTACGCAAGTATTCCTCATGGAGCACTTCTAACACAGAGACTTCTTGTGTGCAGTAACTCATGAATGATGCTTTCATCTTCACAAGGATAGAGCTAATAATACATTTGTCACCTACTTGTTTTTTTTTGTTTGTTTTCTTTAAAACAAAACCTGACAAGCTATTGAGTTGTGCTTTTAAATGAAGCAATTCTTAAACCTTTCTGTGGAACAACTGATTAACAATCTCAAGAGTCAAGGAAGCCTAAGTACTCAAGTTGCCTCCAGTAATAAAGAAGACATAGCCTTCTAAACAGCATTAAACATTAAGGAATGTAAGCTACTAATGAAACATACTAATACTTAAGCCACTGATATACGGAGACAAATGCAGTCTTACACACAAACATAAGCAGGCAGTGTCTTATGTGAGATTAAATCATACTTATTAGATATATGTTTAAGTGCCTACTTAGAAAGAGAGAGCATATAAGCACATTTATCTTTGTAATACAATCACACAGGTGGCTAAACAATGATATTCCCTACTACGTACCATACTACTTCATTATTACCAATCAATACCGTTTAAATACAAAGTCAAATAAAATTGAAAGCTCAAGGCAGAACTGAGAATTACAACACTTCTGTTTGGTTTAAAAGCAAAAATCTGCTTCTCATTGGCAACTTTTAGGTTTTTTTTCTTTTTTTTTTTTTAATGATAAAAAATGAATAGTATTGAGGTTGAACCTGAAAAATGCTCATCTCAAAAGAGAAATTTTTTTTAGAAAGGTTAAGCAACAAAATGCTTTGACATCGTGGTCAAAAATTAGTAACCCAAACACAAGATGCTTACTGTTATTTGTGATTCATTTTATCCTCTTTCTCAAATCACAGATTAATGATGATAATTAAGGATGATCATTAAGGATGATAAGCACAAGCCACTGTAAGAAACTGGGAATGCTGCTGGATCCTAGCTCACCTGGATCTATCAAAAGATCAGAGGCATTGCCACTGTTTTTCTATTGGCTTTTTTTTTTTTTCCCCTGCAGACAGCAGATAACCAATGTGCCAGGGTATCATTGAAATCACACTCCTCTATAACAATTAATGAGGTACCTAATGACATAATGAATCTTTTACTGATCTATTGCCACCTCAGAAGAATACAAGGCCACATAAATCCAATGCAGAAACAAGTGCTGAGTCTCACATAAGGACATGTGCTCTCTCAGGTGCTTCAAAATTGACATATCCGTTCATCCCCATATATCCCTTGCAAGGTGATCATTCAGATTAATCTCCTTTATCATCAGATTTTGCTCTCCAGTTTTCAAAAACACTTTTAATCTTCTCCAGTATTGTCACATGCAGTTTGAACTCACATGCCTTTGAAATTCTTCTATCAGATCAGAAACTGGGCAATTTGGATACCATAAAATCCAGCTGCCATTAATAAAAGACTTGAACTTAGACCACCCTGTGAAAGCAACACTGATGCATTGTGAATAAGCAGTATATTAATCAAAGATCTTTATCAGAGCCATTTCTTGAAATAACAGCTCAAGTAAAATTGTATACTGGTTGGGAAACTTTTGTATGGACAAAAAGGAAACAGTTTCTGAGATTCTCTTTGATCAAATAAGTCTATCATAAAAAGCTTATAAACTCCATAAAAAACTTATAAACTTGCCTCCCACCCCTCTATTTAAAAACTGTAAGGACAGAGCATATTTATTTATATAATCTAAATTGTTGAAAGCAAGCCTTTAAAGAACTACCAATAACAGTGCTAGTCAGTTCCAGACCTAAAGTGTTCATTTGGACCATATAATTAAATAAATTCTTGTATTTGCATTTTTCATTTTATTTTTTTCCCCAATGTATTTGACACCACCTTTGGGAAGTGAACAAAGACACACTGTCAAAAGCAGAAACCTGCACAAAATGTTACTGTTTGTTCCCCATGAATGCAGAGGTATACTTACGCAAAGAAAGAAATTCCATTGCTCTCTTGAGATTTCCTTTCCCTTTAGTTGAATTTAGTGCCAAGTTCACTTAGCTAAAATTTGGGTTGTGTCAGTATGCCAAATAAAAGTTTCTGTATGTCAGTTCTGTTACTCAGTCAAAAGTTAAATGCCAAACAAAAACATGGTCTTGTATTGCAACTTTAAAGTAATGTGAAGTAAAAAGTGATCATTCATAAATCATCCTGGACCCTTACTTTACACAATTCAAGTGTTGGCTTTGATTGAAAGTATTGGTTAAATATTTTGTCTATTATACAGCCTGATTTCTCTTCCAACTATGTAATTGGTCTCAAAGTTTTACACTGCTTCCCTTATATACACATCCACTCAACTGATAACTACATTAGGGCCTCTGAAGGGTCTTAAGTTCTTCTGAAAGCTTCAGATTCTTCTGAATAAGTCACAGACTAAAAACTAGTTTTTACAGGAAAAGCATCAATGTAAGTAAAGTATTTACTAGAATACTTGGATGCTCAAAAGAACTTAGGAAATAAAAGGACAGGGTGATAGATCTACAGGACTAGGGAATCAGCTTTATGTGTGGCAGTAAGACAGGACCAGAGAAAATCTTAAAGTAAAAGGAATATGGGTTGATTGAAACGAGACAGGAAAGGAGGAAGAGTGTCTCATTTGAAGTAGAAAATGAGACTGGTAACAAAAGTCCTATAGTTTTGGACGGATACACCTTCAATATCTGCTACTCTAAGGAATATAAAGCAGAATTTAATCACAGAATCACAGAATTGTAGGGGTTGGAAGGGACCTCTAGAGACCATCGAGACCAACCCCTCTGCCAAAGCAGGTTCCTTAAACCAGGTCGCACAGGTAGACATCCAGGCGAGACTTGAATATCTCCAGAGAAGGAGACTCCACAACCCCCCTGGGCAGCCTGTTCCAGTGCTCCGTCACCTCACTGTAAAGAAGTTCATGAGAATAAAACATTCTTGTAATGAACTCAACCAGATTTGTTCTTACTGCTTTTGAAGAACTGTCAAAAAAATTTCTACTTGACACAAATCTCTTTATTTCATATATATATATATAAACACACATATATTCCATATGAAATGTGTATGTAGACTTCAGAATTTCTCTATTAGATAAATAAAATGTTTGTGGATTTTCCATTTTCTATAAGAATTCTGATCTACTTTTTTCTTTTCCTATGAAAATAAAATGCAGAATTGATGGTTTACATTAAATGTAGAACTACTTCTAAAAATGACTTGGTTTTCATCATGTTTTTGAAAAAAACTAATTTTAAAGCAATAGCAAAGCCTGAAAAATGAACTATGCAGAACTAAGAGATGCAGGATGCAAGAACACAGTAATTGTGGTAAACCAAAGGGCCAGTATTTGTGATCAGACAGACTGGGTTTACATAGGCTGCTACTTATCCTAAGCAACTGCTTAAAGCCATAACATTGAGGGGAAAAAGAAAACCAATACAAACCACTTTTGCTCTTCAGATGTTTTCTTTGTTTGAATCACAAAGTAGAGTGAAAACAGAAAATAAATGACAAAACCAACTTTGGTGGTAAAGTTAAAAAGTTAAAAAGTAAAGTTAAAAAGTGAAGAAACACCGTAACCCAAAAAACATCATGAATGGAACAGTTTCAGAATTACATTAATGACTGACAAGTATGTTTGCCAACCTATGACATAGGTGCATACTACGAAGAAAAAATACAGTTGCGTCAATAACATGTACCTATTTTATCTACACAAAATTTAACCTGCAAGCAAGGAGTAATGAATGAATTGCTGGGAAGGTTATTTCTGAAATCTCACTTAACACAAAGAAATAAAAAATCCTCAATTTCACTCTCTAAGTACAGAACATCCAAATAGGTAAAGAATTTCAGGAAAGAATAATCACCAATTCTGCTTTAAAATACTAGACAATTTCATTATAACAAATTGAAAATGAACTACTTGATCAACAAAAATTACAAACTTACTTATCCCAGAGCATGCTATGGACTTAAAAGGTAGCATTTTCAGGTTTGCAAAAGCAGGGCAGTAATGCTTTCATAGAGGTCTTCACACTTCAACACATACTGTATGCAGAACTATCAACAAACAGAAACTGATTTTCTCTGAACACTAATGAGAAACTCAAGAATGCAAGTCGTAAGGACAGGAAAAAAGACAAATCCTTCAGAAAAATATGACTTACCAGACAGACAAGTTTAGTTGCGTCTCAGGTGCAAAGGAGTGAAGAGGAAGTAAAAACTTTCTGTATGTACAGATCTTGTTTATTTAGCCCTTTACAAAGGTTTCTCTCAAAAAATTAAACTCATATGCAAGAGTCTGCAAGAGAAAGAGAAAGAAAGAAGCTGAGCTGCTGGCTGTTTCTGTTCAAAGCACATTTGAGCTATTTTCAGCAGCAATGGGCTTGCCTACAATCAAAATGAAAATGCAATACAGAAGAAGCAGCATACCAACCCAAGCTAAAAAAATTAAGACATTCATGGCAAAAACCTTTGTTCATTGCCCAAATTTCATTTAAAGAAACAGAAAGCGTAGGGAACAAGCACTGTAGATGATAAAGAAAAATACTGTTAAAAGCAGAGTTGGAGCCTTGAAGACTATTACCTCAGGAAAAGAATCACTATGAATTTGTTTTAATGTTAAAATGTATATCTTGAGTTTAGTCAGTCCTAAAGTTATTTTGCCTTCTTTATACAAAGGTTCATCTGAGAAGAATGCACTTCTATTTGTATTTAAGCGTATTATATCTGGCTGGCATAAACATCTGAGGAAAAATTTTTCTAAGACTGAAGCCAGAATTTTGTTTCTAGTTTTCAGCTTAAATTTCCAGTTTCAGCACCAGTGCTATTTTGAAAGCTTAGTGACCTGAAGCTGCTGGCACTCCACAGGCCATTCAGTGACATAACAAAGATCTTCCTGTCCCCTTCTGCTGCACCCCAAACAACCAGCTGAAATTCTCATTGCGTAAAAATACTAAAAATTAATATAAAAGACAACAAAGTGAATATACAGAGAATATACAAGAGATCCACAAGGATCACTGAGTCCAACTCCTGGCTCCACACAGGACCACCCAAAATTCAAACGCTATGTCTGAGCATTGTCCAAACGCTTCCTGAACTCCAGCAGCTTGGGGCTGTGACCACTGTCCTAGGGAGCCTGCTCCACCGCCTGACCACCCTCTGATGAAGAACTGTTTCCTAACACCCAAATGACCCTCTCCTCAGCCTCCTCTTCTCTGGGCTGAAAAAGTCAAGGGACCTCAGATGCTGCTCATCATACATACACATCTTGTTCTCCAGACCCTTTACCGTTTTCATAGCTTTCCTTTGAAGACTCTAACAGTTTTATATCCTTCATACATTGTGGTGCCCCAAACCACACATAATGCTCAAGGCAAGCCTGCATAGTGCAGAGTGGAACAATCCCTTCCTTTGTTCTGCTGGCAATGCTGGGTTTGATGCACCCCAGGATACGGTTGGCCCTTTTGCCAGGGCACAGTGCTGACTCAGATTCAACTTGTCAATCAGAACCACAAGACCCCTTTCTGTGAGGGCCTCATTCCAGCCTGTCATCCCCCCAGTCTGTACATATATATGCAGAGATGCCTCATTACAAGTGCAGAGTTCAGCACTTGCTCTTGTTAAATTTTATGCAGCTGGTAGCTGCTCAGCCCCATAATTTGTCAATAATTCTCTGCAGACTGTCAAGGAAGACAACAGGTCCTCCCAGTTTCATGTGTCCACAAACTAACTTACTATACTTCTAACTTTTGCTTCCAAGTTATTGATGAAAACTCTAAAGAGAGCTGATCCCAAAATGGAACGCTGCATAACTCCATTTGTGTCTGGTCTCCAGTCACAAGTGATGTAACCCCATTTACTTTAATCATTTGAGCCCCCACATCAGCCAATCGTTCACCTACTGCATTAAATATTTGTCTAACTGCATGCTGAATATTTTGCCCAGAAGGATAAAGTGAGAAACAGTATTGAAAGCCTTATTGAAATATCTAAAGAAAGCATCAACTGATTTTCCTTTGTCAACTAGGTGAGTGACCTTGTCATAAAAGGAAATTGGATTTGTTAAACAGGACTATCCCTCACACACCTAAGCTTGCTGCAAGCAATGACTGCATTGTCCTTCAGGTGTTTCAGTAAATCCCTGAATTATCTCCATAATTTTACCAGGCACTGAAGTGAGTCGGACAGGTCTGTAATTACCAGTCTCTCCCTTCTTGCCCTTCTTGAAATCTGGGGCAATGTTTGCCAGCTTTCAGTCAACTGAGACCTCTCCTGACTCCCAAGACTGCCGAAAAGTAATAGAGAGAGACCTCACCTAGAGAGATGGCATCAGCCAGCTCTTCAAGTACCCTGAGATGAATTCCATTGTGCCACAGGGACTTACGCATTTAGGTGGACCAGTAAATCCCACACGAGTTTGGGGTTGGTTGGGAGTTTATCATTAACACAGTCACAGTTCTCCAGCTCAGGGCTCCAGGGGTCTTACAGCCTATCATTAGTGTTGAAGACAGAGGCTAAGAAAGCATTAAACATTTCTGTTCCACCTGCTAATCACTTTGAAGTTTCAGACAACATAGGTAAGCCAGTGGAAAACTACCATTTAACTTTTGGGAACTTTTTCTGTTATAGAAAGAATGTTCTCTATCTTTATCAGCAGATAAAACTGACATTGCTTCACCAGAATAACTCTTCATGTATGTCCACACTTTTAAATACTGTCACCAAAAATCTTGCAACTTTTCTTTGAACAAAATGAACAAGATCTGATGTTACTCTCCACTCAAAATCTAAAACAGTCTAATGTGGTAGAAATTTTAAATATTTCCATAAATACTGGACTTCCAATCATATTCTACTTAGCCAAGTAGCCTCCTTTGAAATCATTTTAGAAGACATGGATCACCTCAATGTTAAAATTTATTTCTGAAGAGTAACTATTTGAAAGTTAAACAGGATGCCAACCACAGGCTATTCAAACTACTTAAGTGATAAAACAATACTCATTGCTAAAAACAAGCAGAAATGAGCACATTTGTTCCCAAAGACTTGTATAAAATAAAAATAAAATAAAACAATAGTGAAAAAAGCTGTCAAGTGTGAAAATGAAGCATAAATTATTTTTTTATTAGCTCAGGAAAATTCCTTCCATTTGATCCCAGCCATTTTTAGTGCTGTTGTAGTTAAGAGCAGCTACAAGAACAGAAAAATGCAACCCATCTAATACTAAATACCAGCCTGACATATTAATCATTATTGTTGTTTTATTCCACATGGCTAGTTTAGGACTGTTATTTTACTACAAAACCAACTCACAGAAGTTAAAAAGCTCAGTTTATATTTAACTTGAGGTTGATGAATAAAGGGCTCCAGCAGCTGAAGTTTTAGACAGCATATGATTGCATAAGTTACAGCCAGCTTAAGAGTTGTAATGATCAGGTAGAAAACACAATACAGTTTAAGTTAACTACATGATTTATACATAACAAAACAGTAGAGCCAGATGCTACACAGCCTTACTGTCCTTGTTGCTTTAAACTGCTAGTTACAAGCAAGGCCAACAAATACAGGTATGGTGAATTCTATTACCATGCAAATACAAAAATAGAAGAATATTTTCAGATCATTAGAAATATCAATGCAGTACCAAATAAATGCAATACATGATGTCTTGCAGTGCAGTATTTCTTTTCTGAAGCATCTTCTCAGGACAGTGACTTACTGCTAGTACTTAACCCTTTTTAGTACCTTATTTCTTACACACTCTCTGCAACTTGTTTTGCTTAAATGGTTTGTTATTAGTGTTTATAGCACTTATTAAGCATGACAAAATAATACTGTCTAGTTCTCCAATAAATCTAATTACTTACAAGTTTGTTACTAAAACAAGCTTGTCACCATTACCAAGATTATCACCATAAACTTTTCAAAGGATGAAACAATCATATTTCCCATTTTATAGCTATCAGTAACATCAAATTTAACATTTATCAACACTTCTTTAGTGTCACACTGCCACAATTTAATTGATGGTTGGTATTAAACAATCAAAGATGAGCAAGAAGTGTTTAGCACACAGTGCTAATTTAGGCACTTGGTTCAGGTCCCTACAGACTCTGTGACTAGGCTCCACAAGTCAGAGTTCTGTTAAAATGGAAGATGAGAGATGGAAAATTGTTCAACACACTGATGGACAGAGTGTACTAGGTGATCTCAAGACATCCCTTCCAGCCCCTACAATTCTGCAAGTCTCCACTTCATAGATTCATACATAATAAATCTCGATTTTCACTTGGTTCATAGATCTAACAAACACAATTGACTCACTGAACTTCATGTGCACTTCATGTGCAATTGCTGATTCTTTTGTGGAGTCAACCTGTGTACGTACTACCTATGCAGGTGAATTTATATTCTATACAGCCACATGTAATGTCTTCATTTTTATATTACTTTATACATGTTTTTATCCTGATCATGTAATAGTTATGGAAGACATTCTAGTAATGCAATAATGTACACAAGTGAATTCATTGGATTTAACACTAGAGAACACAGGAAAACATACACGCATTCTGTATCACTTTTTAGAGAGTATATTCATTGATCTAGAGCTGATTTTCATCTCTGAAATGAGCATTTCCCAGATTACAGAAAAATTCTGTGAAGACACAGAATTGAAGCCTATCAACCACATGCTTTGACTTGAGCTAATCTTGAAAATGTCTTGGACACATATGATCTTGAAGGATCTTATAAATAAGAATGAATCTATTTTCAGTGTCTCAGATGTACTTTCAGTAGCCTTCACTATAGAGAAGCAATGGAGATTTGAATCTCTACGGCCATTCTCTTGGACAGGATGGTATATCTAATTACACATAGATGCCAAAAAAGCATTGCAAAAATGCATGGACAGACTAACTCAATCTGCTTGGTAGAGCTGCAGATCTTCAAATAAATGTACCATTATGCTATATGCCTATAAATCCAAAGAATGAAAATTGCTGGGAAGAGATTAGTATTCAGTGACATCAGTTTCATTCCTGAAGCAAGAACTGAAAATTCTTCAACATTAAATCACATACACAAACAATAAATCCCAAATTTCGGTTTCTATCACTTCTTCATTTGAGGTACAAAGAAAAATGTGAGTCACTTACTGAAAATAAAAATTGTGAGGGAAGATAATGTAGACATCCAAGTTACCTGATAACAACATTCTTCATAACCATAAAGAAAATAGGAGTTACTTCAATGAACTATCCATAGCGTTAGAATTCTTTGCAGCATGGCTAC